GTTAGCAGCAGCAGGCCAGCAGGCCAGCAGGCCAGCAGGCCACCAGCAGCAGGCCACCAGCAGCAGGCCACCAGCAGCAGGCCACCAGCAGCAGGCCATTAGCAGCAGGCCACCAGCAGCAGGCCAGCAGCAGCAGGCCAGCAGCAGCAGGCCAACAGCAGCAGCAGCAGCAGCAGCAGGAGGCCACCACAGCAGCAGCAGACCAGCAGCAGCAGGCCAGCAGCAGCAGCAAACCAGCAGCAGACCAGCAGCAGACCAGCAGCAGACCAGCAGAAGACCAGCAGACCAGCAGCAGACCAGCAGCAGCAGCAGCAGCAAAAAGCCCTGAAACTGACATTTTCCATTTTGTCTCGGCTGCAGATAACGCCCCGGACCGGAAAGATAGAAGATGAAAGAAAGATAGAAGATGGGGGTCAAAAATTTCCGGAAAGATAGAAGATCAAAAAATGGATCCGCAACAAGGTCCTCCAAGCGGGCTCCAAAATCCTTTCCGACCCTGGTTTTGGCCTTATGTTGATATAGTATCTTCTATGTTATTCTTCCAAAAACGCCTTTCCGAAAACAAGAAACATAGAAGATGCGGTACAAAAATGGTAGCTGAATATCTTCTATTATGGCGGTATGTACTATATGTGTGTGTACTGTACAGTTATATGCAATGCAATACATGCAAACATTTCATTGAGTTCTGGACAAATCTGGATTGGCAACGCTTAATGCAACCTTGATGCATCGAATTCCAAACTGTTACAACAAAAATGTTCACCATGCATACTGTGCACACACTCCTGAACCAATTCATGTTCTTTTGGTTTCGCACATCTCCGAGTAGAGTCTTCACTAGAGCGTCCACCTCAGGAAATCGGACATGCCCTCCGTATAATTATTATTGTGTCTATGTTCAAAAAAAAAATATCGAAACCAAACACACACGTCACATTGAGTCATATGAGCCTGTGTCCAATCGTTGGATGACACTGGTGCAGAACCAGGTCTGGTTGAGCAAGTTCCTGGAGCACCTCCCTGAGCGGAAATGTTTTCAAATTCAATACAATATAGCCCTAACAGCCATGAGGATGCTGTTGCAGACATTCGCATTCTCACACGAAAACAAAATCCGATCGACTAGCAATTTTGACTGAGAATTTGACTGTGAGGGCAGAACCAAGCAGGTTTTCATCAGTACGAAGAGCATCCATCACGAGCAGGAAGTGAGCAAACAAATTCCTGGAAGTTTAATTTGTTTCTACAAACTAAAAACAGCCGTGCATTACAACAATTATTGCACCCAACTAACTCCATGGCAAATTGTTCCCATCGTTTTACATGAAATCGAACTGGAAATAACCTTGTATTTTTGGTGGAATTCAACAATATCATGATGGACGGGCATTTGAGGACAAAACATGCTTGTGGCAAAGTGGTCACACTGCGTGTTTGTTGTCCTGGACTGGCACGGGAAAGTTCGGGTTGAGAAACGCTTTGTCATTTCATTTCCGTTGGTGAGTGATATCGTGTCGTTTTCGGTTTGGTATTCAGTGAATTTGCGGCATTTGCGTTTTTTTTTAGTGACGGACAACCAATTAGAACATCACTTGAAAACGCAGTTCCAAGTTTTGCGGGAAAATTCTAAGTTCTAAGTGTGTGTTGAGGAAAAACACTTAGATCACTTATATAGAACATCCCAACATAAATTCACTTACAGCATCAGTTGTGCACATGAGCGAAAGATAGATGGAAAAATAGATAGATAGAAAGATAGATAGGTAGATAGATAGATGGCTAGATAGATTGATAGATAAATAGATAAATAGATAGATAGATAGGTAGATAGAAAGACAGATAGACCGATAGACAGGTAGACAGCTAAACAGATAGACAGATGAAAGCTAAAGAGCGAGAGAGAGAGAGAGAGAGACAAAGAGAGAGAGAGGGAGAGAGAGAGAGAGATATAGATAGATACATAGATAGATAGATAGATAGATACATAGATAGATAGATAGATGGATAGATAGATAGATGGGTAGACAGACAGATAGATAGATAGATAGGTAGATAGATAGATAGATAGACAGATAGATAGATAGACAGATAGACAGATAGACAGGTAGACAGCTAGACAGATAGACAGAAGAAAGAGAGAGAGAGAGAGAGATAGAGAGATGGATAGATAGATAAGTAGGTAGGTAGGTAGGTAGGTAGATAGATAGATAGATAGATGGATAGATAGATGGATGGATGGATGGATAGATGAATAGATTGATTGATTGATAGATAGATTGATTGATAGATAGATAGATAAATGGACAGATAGATCGATAGATAGATAGATACATAGATAGATAGGTAGGTTGGTAGATAGTCAGAGAAAGAGAGAGAAAGAGAGGAAACATACTTCTACACTTCACTACACTCCACTACAACTACACTCCACTACACTACACTCCACTACAACTACACAACTACACTCCACTACACTCCACTACGCTAAATTACAATA